CCCAAAATGCAATAAATCCATTGAATCAATATAAAAGTTATTTTTCATATTGAAACTGTTAAAAATACACAACAAAGTAAGTTGATCCACATATGACAGCCTCTGAACTTGGTCAATACTAATCTTATTAATAGCTTACGTTTCTTCCCCACCCCAGAAACCACCACAGGTTCATTAATGCCGTCAAAAATATTTTTTTTAGGCTGCACGATAAATCACATGCGATTGTCATGCGCATCTCGTCAATAAAGCCGGTTCTGTGATTAGTAGTAAACCCCCATCACGTGCTTTCAGATGGCATTTAATACACAGAGTCGTAGATCACTGACAAGCTACGCAATATCACGTTCATAATCAAAGGTGATTCATCTGTGATTATGAACACGATATTGCGTAGATTGTCAGTTACTGTTTACAATGCGTGGAATGGTGCGCTGTGATTGGTTGAGCGGATGTATCGCATTCTGCAGAGAAGGGAGACTGGCGTTTGTCGCGGTTTGGAAGAAAGGGATAAAACATGATAGAATAACATGACGGATATCGCATTTTGCGTAAAATAAAAAATGTTCTTTTCAATACCGTCCAGATACAATACTGATTTTGGCGGGAACTAAATTTTTTTTTAAAATGGCGTTTATCGCGTTTTGGAACCAAACTCTTCATATTTATTGTTTATTATTATTTATTGTTTGCTAGTTTTACTCATTGTAACAGTCCTTAAAATTGTGCCATCTTGACATCTTAAACTGACTTTTCATTTTACCCAAATTTAGGGCTAAATTTTCAACCCATTTATCACATTTTTTTAGGCTTTTATCTATATATTTAGCTATTTTTATTTATTTTATGTAAATACATTTTGTCTATTTAAATTAGATTTTTAATGTTTTTTGCTAGACAATTTGGTCCCAGATTTTGATAACAGGGTTGAAAAACTGGCAAACCTCACAGAACAAAGAAAGTTCCCATAATACTTTTTAATCTCTTTATATTGACAAATTTATTATTATTATTATTGTTGTTGTTGTTGTTGTTATTTTACCACAGTTAGGAAGCTCTTCACTGACCATTTGCTGAAAAAGGGAATATATATATATATATATATATATATATTTTTTTTAAGTGTTTCAGACCCTAGTTCACACTCATGGAAAGTGCATTCTGTTTCGCCGCCCGACCTCTATCAGGTGGATTTAAACACTCAACACTCATACCTCACGGACCTGCGGATGTCAGCATGCTAATAAATTACCTTTCTTTGTACTTTGCTGCAGAGTCTGACAGAAGGCTGTTTTTAGTGGGCATTAGACTATTCTGCTGAGTTTATATATAGAGCTGCTTTAATATTATGACCTTTGTGCCTCCATTATTTAATGATGTTTTTCACCATGACCTATTATTCGACTGACTCTCGCAAATAAGATAAATAACGTTATTTCAGTGTTGATGTCCAAACACTTACAATTTATGATTGTTAACCTGAGTCTTTAATTTGTAAATGGGGAAGGGGAAAATAAAAATCTAATTCAGTCTTTATAGCGCATAAAAGCCCTAGATCTTCTGGCCCGTCATTGGATTTTGCTGCTTTACATCCCAACGGTTGCCAAGTAGCAGAAGCCCTTGTTTTCTAATGCTCTAATTTGGTATTCATCACGAGATTGAATCTTATTTTTGTATGCCAGACAAAGTGTTTTGATGGAGGGTAATTGCAGCCAGTCTGGAGGCTGTTTGGGCTGTTTTTCATGGGCAGTGCAGTGCACAATGTGCCGTCTGAAACAGAACACGAGCCTATTGAATGTGGGATCTGCTTTGTGGTTTCTAAATGTGTGGCGAGGTTTTGGAAACGTGTGCGAGGAGACGTATGAGCCGGGCATGGCTGCGTCAAAACAGAACAAATTAGATATGCTGAAATGACACACGATTCACAATAAAAGCTGTCTAGGTAGGTAACTCTTGTAATGATTCTGTAAATGAGTTCATTTTTAAACTTTAAAGGGCTTTGGTTGTCGTCCAGAAGGAATGAGAAGAAAGTGTATGTGGAAAGAGGCTAATTTTAGGCGCTAGCTGGCTGACTTCACGAAGCTTGCGGGTGCTTTAATGAGTCATAATAAAGCCATTTCAGACCAGCTGAGTGAAAATAGATACTTGATGAGCCGAAGGTCATTATACATTTGGATTTTATAGATTTTTTTTCCTGAGTCTGAGGTACGAAGTTTGCAGGAAATGGTAAAAACCTGCTAGCAGAAGCCATAGTTGTAGATGTTGTGTCCAAGCTATGCGTGGTGAACCGAAGACGTTCTTTACTTCTCTGTTTTGAGGTCTTGTCCCTCATGAATTGTTCAGAAAAAGCAACGTCAGCCGGCCATTTCTCCTTGTTCGGTGTGTGTGGTTTATCGAGAGTGTTTCTGAAGTGATGGAAACATCCTGGCCTACTTCATAATGGGCCAGCAGCTCCACAGGTGGATCTAATATTATTAATAGATGGATTCCCTCAGGCGGTTGATGGCCATCAGAACAGTTATTTAGTCCAGTTATTAAGGATCGCTGGTTGCAACTGGGTTAAATGATTCTTTTCTTTCTGTGTGTGTGCATTTGTACACCTTGTATACGTGTTTCCATCTGTGCAGGTGATTCATATGTTTAATGATGTTTTAATGGTGTGAATTTTGCATAGCCTATTTTTAGGACCATTAAGACTTTTTTTTGCGTTACGACGTTATTTTCAGGATAATTAAGCAGCCCCCACCCCTTCTCATTATCGTAATGTGAAAAATTCTCATTCTCATTAACGTAATGTGAAAAAAAAACAATGTTACTCTATTTAAATTGATTTATACGTAATGGTAGTGCATGATGTACGGCCTCCAGTTAATTATTTATTGTGTCCAGACAAGGTGATTTTCTGTAATACAGTAATTAGAATCTAATGAGAATCATAATAATGAAAATTACAAACAGATTCAAGAGTAAAGTATACATTACAGTAATTAGAATTGGAGGGAAAATAGTATTAGTATTTATTGATTTATTATAATTTATATTTATTGTATTTATTTATTTTATTTATATTTTATTAATTAACTTGCGACTTGACTGCATTTTTAATGTTACAAAAGATTTCTGCTTCAGATAAATGCTCTTTTGAATTTTCTGTTCACAGTGAAGCCTAAAGTAATAGTTTCTGAAAATTTGCAGGGATAAATTACATTTTAAAATGTATTAAAAAAAAAAGTTATTTTAAATTGTAACAATATTTCACAATATTCCTGTTTTTACTGTTGTTTTAATCAAATAAATGCAATAAATACAGCCTTGGTGAGCAATATATATATATAGTTTATACATACACACATAAACTTACTGACCCCAAAATTTTAACTAGTTGTGTATATTAATAAAATAAAACAGCCTTGACAGGCTTCGTGAGATTCACCCTGAAGAAACAACCTTAGCATTGATAAATGAATTACGATTGATCAAAATCATCTGCTTTTACAGGAAAACATGAGCCGTACCTGCCTGAGGGTCCGTCAACCTTATATGACCTTTCCTGTTATATGATTATCATTTATTACTGTTATCTCTATGAACACATCATAAATGGGTATAGTGTGATGTTTGTAAGAAGAGACTCATTGTACATGTCATAAATCAGTCTGAAGATACAAAGCGTTTTAATATCCTTTAGGACATGTTGCTGTCTGTTCTGCCTCGGCTTATGGTTTATGGTCTTTTCTTTTATCAAGACAAGACAAGAGAAAGCTGCCAGCTCTTGTAGATAAGAACATCTCTTTGATTCTGTCAAGGGACAGTATTTTACCCCGTTGATGTGTGTTGGGGAAAAATGAATGATGTTTAATGTCATAAACAACTCATACTTTGAAATAACACAATTTCAGCTTTTGGCATTGTTTCTGTTTTCTTTTCAGTTCATTTTATGGTTTGAGTTTCTAAACATGAGCTTAAAAAGTATATTTGACAGATCAACAATAATGCCCGTGTACTGTTTTCTATCCAGGACATTGTTCACGGTTCAGGTTTATAATTCTACTTTATATATTTGTGAATTCATGATTTTGCTCCTTATATTAATGTTTTAATTGCTTTATTGGAGGAATATTCCACATACGTGATGATACATTTTGGAAAATTTAGGCATGCTAGATAAACCAGATTTCTGAAGATATGCGAGTCATAATGTGTATTCTTCAGGATATTTGATATGAATTACATTTATATCAGCGAAGGTCAGATTATCACTTCAGCCATGTAATGTCAGTGTTATTATTGTTAACTAAAAATTAAAACTATTAAAAATCTTTTTTTGGTAATTGAAATAAAGCTGAAATTAAATGAAATATAAATATTAGGTGAGGAACTTAAACTTACAAAAACCTTGGCACCTAACTGAAATTATTTTAAATTAAAGCACTAAAACTAAAATAAAAATAAATAAAAAATATTATTAAAAAACTAATAAAAATGACAAATGCACAACAAAATTACAAAAATGTAAAAAAGAAAACTGAACAAATAAAAGCTCATTCCTAATAATACTAAACATTACTACTACTAACAATAATAATAATCCTAACTTCTATTATAAAACTAAAATTGTTGTTCCCAATTAAGCCATCAGCCAGCTGGTATATACTTTTATTGTGCTCTTCTTTCTTCCAGCTGGACCAAAAGCACTAGTATGTGATCAGTGTGGCGCTCAGTTCTCCAAGGAAGACGCCCTGGAAGCCCATCGACAGACTCACACAGGTAGGACCCTTCTTGCCTCATCTAACAGCAAACCACTTCGCTAAATCACCCTAGTTGACCACAGTGGAAAAAACAACAGTAAAGTGGAGATGCGTCATGCATGTACCAGTAGCAATCATGTTTATGACCCTATCAAAACTCCATTCTGATGGTCTTCTATAATTCAGCAGGGAAGGTTTCGGTGCCCTCTAAAATTTCAGCCAATAATATGTGCTGTTACAGGGCAAGGCGGCACACCGCTTTGGCACAGCAGCAGTGCCATGTTTCACCAATCTCCATCACTTTGTCTAAACATGGCATGTACATTTGTTAGAGTGACTGTACTGAGTTACCAGAGCCTGTGAGTCATCGACGCTCTGGCACGATCATTAACACGCCAACAGCATTCAGCTGCCACCCTCCTGTCAAATATTCATATTTACTGACATCTGATGACTGCAAGGATAGGTTTCAGTGGTACTACAGACATTTTAATAATCATATTTTAGGTGAGGTAAATACTGTGCTCTGATAAGGGTTGACATGGGATGATATGCTGAGTCTAAAGTTGTATTTGTTGCTACATACCTGAGTGTGCGCTGTCAGGACACATTGAAACATGTACGTAGGCGTTCAACTATAGTCTAATGAAAATGAAAATTCTGTCATTGTTTACTTAACCTGTTGTTTTTTCATGTGTTATGTTACAAGTCTTCAGAAGCCATGTGATAGCTTTGTGTGAAGAACAGCCAGAAATGATCAAGTCATCTTCCCCTCCAGTGAGCTGTTAACTCAAGAACCACTGCAATTGCATCTTTGATTCAGTGAGTTGAATTTGAGAACTGGATAAAATGAACAAATCATTCTTTTGATCCAGTTTCAGTGAAATAGCTGATTTGGTTCACAAATTGGGCTGAAATTATTCATTTGTATATTGAACTGATTCGTTCATGAACCCTCACTGAATCAATGATTCGGTCACAGCGGTTCTCGGGAAACAGCTCACTGGAGGGAATAACGACTTAAATTTCAGTCTGTTCTACACAGAAAGCTATTCAGACTCAAAAAGAATGTGTGACTGATGTGTGGTGGGTTTTTTGTCAGTTTTGGGGCCTAACTGTAATAGTCATATAGCCTAACTACCTTGATGGCAATACCAGTTTGAGTCCAGCTTTTGACATTTCCTGATCATATTCCTGCATCTTTTCCTGTCCTCACTCCACTATTTCTATCAAAAAAGTGAAAGGTAAATGCCACAAATGTCCCTGATTCTACTGTATATACAGCAGTCACAGAAGGAAGAACTTAAGCATGATTAAAAATGTCTAAATGTCATAGCTTGTCACAAAAAATCAACCCCCTCCAGTGAGTCGTTAACACAAGAACCATTGCAACTGGATCTTTGATTCAGTGATTCAAGGTTCAACTGGATCACATGAGCAGGTCATTCTTTTGATCCAGTTTTAATAAACCAGCTGATTCAATTCACAATTCAAGCTGAATGATTCATTCATGGATTGAACTGATCTCACTGAATAAGTGATCCAGTCACTGCAGTTTTTGGGTTAACAGCTCACTTGAGGGAATAATGACTTAAATTTCAGCCTATTCTACAAAGAAAGCTATTCAGACTCAAAAAGCATGTGTCATTGATGTGTGATGGGTTTTTTGTCAGTTTTGGGGCCTAGCTGTCATAGTCATATGAACTGCCTTGGTGGCAATACCAATTTGAGTCTAGATTTTTACATTTTACTGATCACATTTCTGCATCTTTTCCTGTCCTAACCTCACTGTTTATATCAATAAAAGTGAAAAGAAAATGCCACAAATGTCCCTGAACCTACTGTATATACAGCAGTGGTGTTCCGTCCATATAAGCTGCGAATGCTCCGCATACCCAGGCCATTTGAGAGAATAAGTTCACGGGATAATTCATATAAACATGATTATAAGTTGATCCCTTGTCATTTGAAATGTAACTTAAAGCTTAAAGAGTTAGGGATAAGTACTTATAATGATTTATTTGCCAAACGGCAGTAATTTTCTTTAAATCTACCAGTTGCGTTTGCTTCAGGGCGAGCGGATTCTCCGCAGCTTTCTCGCCTCCGCTCTGACTAGTCAGGATTGTAGCGCGTTCTCAGTGATTTGTTGGTCTGCGGCAGATTTAATGCGCGAGGTAAGCTGTCTGCCAAGCGCTCGCCCAAACGGAAAAATGTGCTGTAAAAAAATGTGTAAATAAAATTTTAATAATAACAAACATGACATTGTTCCCTTTGTTTTGCGTATGCTTGTGTCGCTTACAGTTAAAGTCCTTCTCTGATTTTATTATTGTTTGCAAGGTTGCAACGTTACTTTGCAATATTTTGGGGTATTTTGCATGGTCTGTTATTGGAGTAGTGTCACCCGGGTGGGAGTTTTAACTCCTTGGATCTTTGATTCAGTGATTCAAGGTTCAACTGGATCACATGAGCAGGTCATTCTTTTGATCCAGTTTTAATAAACCAGCTGATTCAATTCACAATTCAAGCTGAATGATTCATTCATGGATTGAACTGATCTCACTGAATAAGTGATCCAGTCACTGCAGTTTTTGGGTTAACAGCTCACTTGAGGGAATAATGACTTAAATTTCAGCCTATTCTACAAAGAAAGCTATTCAGACTCAAAAAGCATGTGTCATTGATGTGTGATGGGTTTTTTGTCAGTTTTGGGGCCTAGCTGTCATAGTCATATGAACTGCCTTGGTGGCAATACCAATTTGAGTCTAGATTTTTACATTTTACTGATCACATTTCTGCATCTTTTCCTGTCCTAACCTCACTGTTTATATCAATAAAAGTGAAAAGAAAATGCCACAAATGTCCCTGAACCTACTGTATATACAGCAGTGGTGTTCCGTCCATATAAGCTGCGAATGCTCCGCATACCCAGGCCATTTGAGAGAATAAGTTCACGGGATAATTCATATAAACATGATTATAAGTTGATCCCTTGTCATTTGAAATGTAACTTAAAGCTTAAAGAGTTAGGGATAAGTACTTATAATGATTTATTTGCCAAACGGCAGTAATTTTCTTTAAATCTACCAGTTGCGTTTGCTTCAGGGCGAGCGGATTCTCCGCAGCTTTCTCGCCTCCGCTCTGACTAGTCAGGATTGTAGCGCGTTCTCAGTGATTTGTTGGTCTGCGGCAGATTTAATGCGCGAGGTAAGCTGTCTGCCAAGCGCTCGCCCAAACGGAAAAATGTGCTGTAAAAAAATGTGTAAATAAAATTTTAATAATAACAAACATGACATTGTTCCCTTTGTTTTGCGTATGCTTGTGTCGCTTACAGTTAAAGTCCTTCTCTGATTTTATTATTGTTTGCAAGGTTGCAACGTTACTTTGCAATATTTTGGGGTATTTTGCATGGTCTGTTATTGGAGTAGTGTCACCCGGGTGGGAGTTTTAACTCCTGTCCTATTCACTAGGAATAAAAAAAATAATTTAGCAGATGCAGAGACATATAGACCGGGTGAATCCCCATCTCACCACCCTCTGATTACGTATCATAACCAGTGTTGGGGGTAATATATTACAAGTAACGCAAGTTACGTAATCAGATTACTTTTTTCAAGTAACTAGTAAAGTAACGCATTACTTTTTAATTTACAAGAGAATATCTGAGTTACTTTTTCAAATAAGTAACGCAAGTTACTTTTTTTTTTAACGCATTACTTTCCATAAAAAGTAACTAAGTAACGTAATGAGTTACTTTTTTATGGAGTAACGCAATATTGTAATGCATTACTTTTAAAAGTAACTTTCCCCAACACTGATCATAACATAACTACGTGTAAACGTTATTTGGCGGTTTTTACTTGGAAAACCAGCTATATTTTTCTTGCATTCGAATAATGGATAAACTTGAAACGATAGAAGGATTGGAGATGAATTTCAATTTACAAATAAGGTAGAAAATGTGCATACTTTTAAATCGACACCAGCCATGGTGTTTCTTCTGTGTTTTGTCATCCGGTTAAAAATGTCACCGCTCGCCACTGATATACAGTAGTCACAAAAAGAAGAACTTGGACACTTAAGCCATGACTTAAAATGTCTAAATGTCACAGCTTGGATAACAAAAAATCTATTCTCCTCCAGCGAGCTGTTAACTACAGAACCGTTGCAACTAGATCTTTGATTCAGTGATTCAAGAACTGGAACTCATGAGCAAGTCATTCTTTTGATCCAGTTTGAATAAACCAGCTGATTCGGTTAACAAATGAGACTGAAATTATTCATTCAACTAACTGATTCATTCATGAGTGAGCCCTCACTGAATCAATGATTCGGTCACAGCAGTTCTCGGGTTAACAGCTCACTGAAGGGAATAAAGACTTAAATTCTACACAGAAAGCTATTCAGACTACCACAAATGTCCCTGAATCTACTGTATACAGCAGTCACAGAAAGAAGAACTTAGACACTTACGCCGTGATTAAAAATGTCTAAATGCAACTGGATCTATGATTCAGTGATTTAAGATTTAAGAACTGGATCACATGAGCATGTCATTCTTTTGATCCAGTTTCAATAAACCAGCTGATTCAGTTCACAAATCGAGCTGAATGATTCATTCATGGATTGAACTGATTTGTTCATTAGTTCATCTCACTGAATAAGTCATCCGGTCATAGCTGTTCTCAGGTTAACAGCTCACTAGAGGGAATAACAACTTAAATTTCCATCTATTCACAGAAAACTATTCAGACTTGAAAAGAATGTGTGACTGGTATGTAATGATACTTTTGGGGCTTAACAGACATAGTCATAGTAATGCTATTTGAGTCCATTTCATTTGTGACATTTCCTGATCCCATTCCTGCATCTTTCCTGTCTTCACTCCATTGTTTGTATCAATAAAAGTGGAAAAAATGCCACAAATGTCCCTTAATCTATGAACAGTGATCCCATAAAGAATCTGGACTTGTAAGTGTTTGTTATTTGTCCAAACATTTTCCTGGCCACTTCAGTCCAATC